GATTAGACCTGATGTGAACACTGTCGTAGGATCTGAGTTACCTTTATTGGATTGTGATTTAGGGTTTTGGGTTTGTGTTTTCACTCGTTCTTCTATGTCATTATTTTGGTATTTCCGTTGTTACTTACTGTTTTCTTTCCTTATTGTGATTGTAGTATTGTTAGTCATTTCGTATAGTCTTTATATATACACATCATGTTCCGCCATTCCTATGCTTATATTTGTACCGTTTATTGGATTGATAGATGTCTTGACTGTTCCTCATTACTACTCTACCGAGGTTAGTCTTGATACTTACTGGGCACTGCTGTGGTGTGCTCATGCTACTCTTCTGCACATTTTTGTTGTGCAGATCCAGGTATTGATCGTTAGTAGCTGTGTGGATCATTGTTGAGGAGAATCAAGGTAACCTGCTGTTGCGTTCACAGGCTTCGGAGTCACCTTTTTACTTGTATTCAACTATTTTCACTCTTTTCCGAACAGTTATATTTAAAAGTGGTAGTTAACTTTGTAGAGCTTATGATTTGTACTACCAGATTTTTGGAATGTGTTCATTGTATAAAGGATTTATTCCAGAAGAATTTTAAGATATATTTACTATTGTTGTTCCTCCGTAAATATTAGGCTTACCTAGTCCTTAAGACTATGTGCCGTCACGAAATCCAACGGAGGGGAAATTGGGTCGTGAAAAGAAGTGGGAAAAGGTGATAAGGCAAGACATGGTGCAACTTTAGCTTACCAAGAACATGACTTTTGATAGGAAGGTGTGAAGGTCGAGAATTATGGCAGTTGGGTAGGTGGTCTATATTGTCCATACCAGTAGTATGAGTACACACTCTCGTATTTTATTGGTAGTGGGTTTCTATGACTACCCGTTATTTTCTTTCATTTTGATCATCTTATTATCGTGTTATTTTTATGTTGCTTTTTACATAGCTTTTTGGTGTTGTCTCTTCTTATCTATCTTTTCATTAATGTGGTGCTTATACTTTTCTAAGCCGAGAGTTTATTGAAAACAACCTCTCTACCTTCATCAAAGTATGCGTAAGGTCTGCGTACAGACTACCTTCCTCAGACCCCACAATATGAGATAATACTAGGTATGTTGCTATTTATAAAAAGTATTTTTTGACTTATATAAATAGTATAATTTTTCGGTTAATGGTGTTCAACTGAATACACTTTATTATATATGGCGATGATACTAACCTCAAAATATAAACTAAAAAAAGAAGTCATTCTTATATTTGCCCATTATATTTAGTCGATTTATGCTGATCGTATTGTTTACATTAGAAATGTAATTTGGCATAACACTTGAGATTGTTGGCGATTAATTAAATGTCTGAAATGAAATTTATAAGTTGCATTTTAGAAGTGGGGTTTATAATTGTATTTTAAAATGCAATTTAAGTAAATGAAACATCTCCAAACCGTATGTTCTCTTGTATAACTTAGAGAGGTTTGACTCTTGACTCTGCTCTATTACTTTTGGCTCCACTAGTTTTATATACGTACGCTGCGCGTATACTCCATATAATAAGTATAAAATAGTATAATTTTTTTTATAAAAGTTATATAATAAAGTTTGAAAAGTATGTTTAAACAACTTTAATTATGCAGTTTGTCTAACATATCAAACATTAAGCTTGACAATTGTTTTTGTTCTTTTATACTTCAATAATATAATTTACATGTGAATATGAGTAGCAATTATGCTTTTGTTTTCTCAATCTTTTTTTCTTTCAGTGACAACATAATCCAATACTCCTATTAGTCAGGCTTTAATATACTAGGACAACAACATGGGCAAAAAAAAATTATTTTTGGAAAAAAAAATGAGTTGTAGGATCTAAAAGTAATAGTAATGAAGGAAAACTTAGCACTGTGAAAGGAGATATTTTCTTCTTTTTCATTTTTAAATTGGGATTAATGAAGTAATTCAGTACATATCAGATGATGATGCTTAATACATGATTTTTATTTATGGGTAATATCCGACATAATCTTGCTTAGAATAGCATAGAAATTCAAAAGTCTAAAAGACAAACTAAATTTCGTGAAGTTCTGAAACAAAATAATAAAGGAAAAGAAAAATTTGTACATAGATACGACTTTGGCATGAAGAATGCACTGTAAAAGAAATTAAGTGACAATATATTGTGTGCATTTTTATTCGAAAAAATATCAAGCATATAAAAAGGTTCTGACCGGATGATTTTAATAGTGGAAGCTTAAAGGAGAGCAAACTGACAAAAAACGAAAAAAAGATGGGAAGGATAAGTGAATACTACCATTTATTAGGACCTCAATTAAATGATCAATTATATATATATTTAATGGAAAATAATTTTACTTTAGCTATAGGGTAATCTGGTCATTCAAGTTTTGAAGGATATTTTAGTAAAATAATATTATCTAAAAGTCTTCACATTTATAATATAGTATGATACACTTGCAGATGGATGATACGTATCCATATAACTACGAAGGGCTACGATTGCTTTTTAATTTATTCTTGTATTTTTGGTTATTCTCCATCTTTTGCGGACGGAACAAGAAGAAATTTGTTGACGTCAAATTTTTTATCCTTCTAGTGTACTTATCTCATGTTAATACCAAAATCAATCATTCCCTTCCATGAAAGCATATAGACATAACAAAGAGTGCCACAAGGCAAAAAGTTATCGAGTGTATTGTATTCTTATAAAAAAAAAATATATGAATTAATTGTTTAATAGAATAAAATGTGGTTAGCTTTTTATATGTAGAAAATCAGTAATTAATTCTATTAATTAATAAAATAAAAAATCAGTGCACTAGGTACATGTTTGTCGTACTCAAAGTAATAGTAAGTTGGAACTATTACTATTCCTGTCCCCGTCCGCAAAAGATGGAGAATAACAAAAAATACAAGAATAATTTAAAAAGCAAAAACAACAACCCTTTATAGTTATATGGACACGTGTCATTCACCTGCAGGTGTATTGATGTTTATTGGAGCCAAAAGTAATGGAGCAGAGCCGAACCCAACATAGAGCACATGTAAATCGCATTTCAAATATGACTGTTGCATATTTTTGGAATTCTCGCAAATGTTGCATAGTGAAATTTCTCAACCAAAATTGCGCAATTTGGATAGAAATTCTAAATTCCATCTATGTGACTCCTCAATTGTCCATTAAAAAAAATAGATGACATGAAATCGATTCATACTTGATCCTTTTCTTAATATACTAGTCATATAGCCCGCTTTTAACAGATTGATTATCTAATCCATTTTTATTGAGCGAGTTGGACGAATATTTAAAATATTTATCAATTTTGTCAGTACTAATTAATAAATGGAAGGTCTTTTTTTTTAAAAATATGTTTACTTTACACTAAATAAAATTGAATTTACAATTATTATGTTGAGTCCTCAACCTTTTGAATTTGCAAGCTTCTCTTGATTATTCTCTCTCAAATCCTGCCTCCATGAAAAATTATAGCTTTAGCATACACAATGAAGAAAGTCAAAAAGAGGTTTAACAATTTCAAAATTCCAGCATCAATAACGCTTAAAAAAATTCCTACATCAATTGATAATTTTTTTGGCACCATCATTTAATAACCAGTTTTAAAAATCAACAAACATAGTACCACCAACAAATTCTGAGGTATTGTTAGGCCGTGTATGCACAAATAATTCCTATATCATTTTCTCAAGACATGTTAAAGAGGTTAGTATGACTCTTTGATTTCATATACATTAAACTGGTTCTCGAATTTGAGAAAAAGGAAGGCTCATATATTTATAGTTTTTACATCGTGATGCAAAAATAAAGTAAAATATTAAGTTCAAACGACCCCAAATTGGATATAATATGATTTATGAACTTGTGGTCATTACAATATCGAAAGAGGTGCATGATCCAACATACGTAAGATGTTCCAAACAAAAAAGAAGAAAAAAAAATAGGACTTAATTAGGAAAAGACCCAAAAGGACCTACAGAGGCAAACATAACCAATTTGATATCATTATAATTGCTGAACACAATAGTTTTAATATTTCGAATAGGTCTCCTTAAAGTAATATAGTATGCGCTAAACACATTAAAGGCCGAGTCCTTTTTTTTGAGTTAAAAACAAATTATGGTGTTAAGAGCATAATACGTTGAAAATTCTAAAATAAGAAAAATTAGAGGTCGCATGAGTTTATAGTGTATTTATGCATAATTAAAATGCACAGAGTGTTTATGTGGTGTAATAACTATAAATTGTTATGTGGTGAATAATAATACATGGATTGTTACGAAAGAATTTCCTAATTTAAGTATATTTTTTGTCTCTAAATACATGTATATATGTATTACAATAGATAAAAAGACTTTCATATAGAGTTATCAGAATTTATACAACTACTTTATTTTTATTATTAAACTCCGCATAGGACAATTCATGTGGGTTTTGTATTAAAAAATCAAATATTATATTAGTTTTAAGAAATAAATAATAGTATAAAATTCTATACAAAAAATAATTATTTTCTATAATGCAAACCAAACAACCCCTAAAAACTTATACTAGTAGTTTAGAGTCCGTTTCGACATGAAATTTATTTTACTTTTTTTCAAAATTTTTTCATTTTTTTTCGAAAGCAATATTTTTCAATTTTCACTTGAAAATAAATTTTAGAATTTTTTAAAAATTTGAAAAATTTCAAAAAACTATTTTTCAAGCATTCAGATCACTCAAAAAAAATTAAAAATAACTCAAAATTATATTCATGTCCAAACACAATTTTAATTTTCAAATACCATTTTTTAAAAAACTTTTTTCGGAATTTTTACAATTCTTGCCCACTTAATTAGCACACAAAAAGCGTACGTGGTACACTTCCAACAGACGTAACGATGACTTTCAGTTCTAATCTAAACCGTCCATTTCCGATCTCTCTGATCGTACGGTTATGTCAAACCATCAGAAGCACACATGAATAATAAAACAACTATTCTCAGTTCGAAGGCGCTTTGGTCCAAAAACTACGAGTTAGTTCAAAAAATTGACAAAATTCTCAGCTTCCCACTTTCAGTTCAAATCACCCCCACAAAAAAATTTAACTTTTAATTACATCAATTATCTGCTAATTATTCCACTTTTAGTCTGATTTGGAGTTGGATCTTAGCTTTGGGAGTTGCTATTTCATTATTGGTTGAGCTGAATTCTTGAATTTTTCCAAGTAAGGGAAAGTTAGGGTTTCTCAAATTTCGGGTCTTTTCTTGGAAAAACCCTAGCCTATTAGTTCAAGCTAGTAATTTGAGTTGTGGGTTTTGGGAGATTTTACGGATTATTGAAGATTTGAAGCTAATTGCTGTGTTATTGAATTTTTTGCTATGCTGTTTATTGTAAAGATGGGCTTTTTAGTTTGAATTTGGTGAATTTTATTGGAATAGCCCTAGCTTTTTAGTGCAACACAGTAATTTGAGTTGTGGGTTTGGGAAATTTTATTGGTTCTTGTAGATTGAAGCTAATTGTTGTGTGTTATTGAAGTTTTTGTTATGTTGTTTATAGTAAAGATGGGGTTTTCTTTGGTTTCTTTGGTTGTAGGTTTTTCAGGTCCTGATTGAAATTTGGGGAAAAAGTTAGGGTTTTTGGATTTGGAGTTAGGGTTTTATAATAGGGTGTTTGTGGATTCTATTTGTGTATGTGTACAAGAAGAATTTGAAGTTCTTTTGGAGAAATGTTTTACTCACAGTTCATATTGGCCAAAAAGGGGCCTTTGGGAACTATATGGATTGCAGCACATCTGGAGAGGAAACTTAGGAAGAATCAAGTTGCTGATACAGATATTGGCGTCTCCGTAGGTCAGTTCTCCATATGTGATTGGTTACTTTCTCCTTGTTTTCATTTTCCTGTTCAATTGTTTACTGTGACTAGCTGCCTAATTATTTAGCTGTATTTAAAATTCTTGCTTTCTAGATGAATTTCATGGTAAAATATACATTTACATAACAAAGTAATAACAAAATATACAGGAGCAATGTGGCTCACTTGCATTAATGCTCTCAAAATCTCATAGTTAATTGAATAACTAGCATATAATGCCTTCCAATATGTGGGACAAGATGATCTTCTTGTGTTCATGTTGGTGCTAAGTGTGGAGATTCTTTTTTATGGTAGAAGTAAGTGCTAGAGTTTGTTCGGATAGATTATCCTGGATCGATTAATGGTGTTCATCAATGTTTGTTGCTTGTTGGTAGTCAGGATACTTTCTCCCGTCTATAGTTACAATCTTTACGTTTCGTCTTTCATTTGGAAAACTTTAAGACCACTTACACCCCCCNTAACTGAATTTGATCCTAGTTCATAGGATTTTGATGGTTAGATTACCTGATTGGTTAACCTAGAAGGAAATTTGCCATTTAATGCGTCTTAGGTTCAAATCCTAGCGTAAACAAGAATAAACTAGGTGATTTCTTCCCATATGCCCAAACCTTGAAGGGCAGAATTACCCGGTACCTTTGCTAGTCGAGCTAGTAGATACCATGTGGAATTAGCTGAGGTGCGTTTAAGTTGGTCCTGACATCACATTTGTAAAGAAAGATCTGCCATTTAATGCCCTTGACTGTCATTTTTTAACATCTCAAGTGTATAGGCAGTCACAATGCTTCTGTTAAATGTGGACTAATGGGCTTGCTCTCATTTTTTTCATTTTAGTGAAATTTTAGCAATTGATTATTTGATAGCGTTCAAACTGTTGTTCTGTGTTGTTTCATTATGTTTTTAAGTTTGAAGGGCTTAGTACCAGGATGTTAAACTCTCCTTGTTCGACTTTGTGAGCTATCTGCATGCTGCAATGGTGTAAAAATATTTTCATTGGAACTCTTCGTCCATGGATGCTTCCATCCCTCTTTATGACAAAAGAGAGAGTTAATGAACTCATTAAAAAAGAAGAGGCAATGAAAAAGGATGAGAAGAGAAATATGAATATAAACTTCACTGAATACAACCTTTAATGACTTCAATATATATCTGGTTATTAAAAAAAGACCCAATATTTATCCGTATCTGAGAAATATGAGTATTTTAACTTTTCAAATGTATAAAGTTCTAATTATGTCGGTTGTATCAAGAGAACTTGAATTATACTTTTTCTGTTCCTGGATGCACGAATCACATTGGCTTATTGGAGATTATGAATAAAATGTTTTTAGACAGTTTGAGAGCTATTTTGAGTAATGATTAGAAATCTCATAATGGAATAGTTACCTAAAAAGATGCTGCATAAAGTTTGGAATAATATGAATTACTACTTAGTTTATAATTTTTTGAATTGTTGGAGGGAGGAAAATGTGTCATTAAAGAAAATCAGTCATGCTTTGGACCCAGGGAGTGATTTGGGGAGTAAATACAACTATGAGGTGTGAAAAAGAGATCTTTGAATCTTTCTGGGTCTTTGTGTTGGCCTCGCATTCCCATTGGATGTTATAAAGATACTTACCTTTAAATATCAAAGAAGCAATGAAGATGTGACAAAGTTCACCACAAAAAAGATTGAAAGCTCTACTTCTGGCTCTTTCTGGGTTTCTTTGCAGAAATACTTTCCAGTTTCTTTTAGTGAATTACTTTTTCCTCTTTAGTATATTGCACAAAGAGGCAAGTTGAAAATACATGTAAAATAAATGAAAAAGTAGTTTATTTGTGCTCCTTAGGCTGCAAAATCTGAAGAAAATATAGGCGATTGGAGTTACGTTATGCAATGCTTAAAAGAATTTGAACTTTCCAATTCTACGTTTGATTTACCTGTTTATACCTATTATTTAAGAAGAGAATATTTTGCAGCTTATAAACCCTCTTTCTAAGGGTTTTAACTTTTAAGCATGTGGAAAGCTAAGTTTCTTGAACGTTGGTCAAAATTTGTGTGCCCTGTGAACTTGTACCACCATTGGTATTGCACTTTTTTAATTAGTTATTTTGGCGTCTGATAAGTAAAGTAGTTATATTAGAAAGCACCAAGAGTCTACACCTAGTAAACCAGAGCTTCTGCAGTAAAGCGCATGCCCGTTTTTAACCTATGGTATAAGAAGTGACAGCCTGCTCATTAACTCTAGTTAACAGTAAAATAGCGTCCTTCTGTAAGGCTCAACCAATACAAGTTTCAGCAAGTTCTTGCTTATTACCATATATATCTGAATATATGAATAGTCTGGTACTTTTGGTTCCAACCGACTTTTGTGCCTATGATATTTTGAAGAGAACAGCTACTTTGCATTGAACTTGTTGAAGAAACTTTTGGTTAAAAAAATAAATAAATACAGGAAATGTAGGTCGTGCTTAAATAGGATGAATGTGCTTTTTCAACAATGTTTCTAATTGTTGGGTTGAGAGCCCGAGGTCATCTTATCTCCATCCTTTTCTTCTGAATACTAATTTTTCTTTTGTTGCTTAATCACGAAAGGTATTCTTCCCTTTGTTTTTAACTTGTCTTGTTCTTCTTCAACAGACTCAATCCTTTTTCCTGAAGCGCCAATTGCATTGCGGTTATCTAGCCATCTTCTTCTTGGAGTTGTGAGGATATATTCTCGAAAGGTGGGTTACCTATTTGACGATTGCAGTGAGGCTTTGCTAAAAGTCAAGCAAGCTTTTCGCTCCACCGCTGTGGATTTACCACCTGAAGAATCTAAGGCTCCATATCACTCAATCACCTTGCCAGAGACTTTTGAACTTGATGATTTTGAGTTGCCAGACAATGAGATTTTTCAGGGGTCAGTTCCAGTCTATCTTTTTGTTGTCTCTTTATTTATATTATAGGTAGGGGTAAGGTCTGCCTACAGACTACCCTCCCCAGACAAACTGGGTTTTGTTGGTGTTGTTGTTGTTTATTATATTACTAGCTTGCTGCATGTCATGGCTTTTACGAGAATACAACATACTCCCTCTGTTTCCCAGTTATTTGGAGGTATTTCCTTTTTGGTCCGTTCTAAAAAGAATGGTCTCTTTCTGAATTTGAAAATAATTAAACTTCCACTTCCACTTCCACTTCTACCCTAAATGAGAAGCTTTTATAGCCACACAAATACTCTGGCATGTTTAAACAAGTTTCAAAAAGAATAATAGCCATACAAATGTTATGGCTTGTTTAGGACCACAAGTTTTAAAAGTCTTTATTTCTTTCTTAAACTCTGTGTCCAGTCAAATTGGTTCACATAAATTGGAATGGAGGGAGTACTATAGTTGCTGGCTGTGGGAGTTGTGTCTGAAGTACTTATCTTTTTCTTCTCGTCCTGTTCATCAATTAATCTATTTTGGTGGAAGATTGTGTTATGGTCCACTTAGAGCTCACTGTGCCTCAATTTTTTCTACTAAAGTCAATGTCAATTCTGCAGTAACTATGTGGACCATCATGTTAGTTCAAGGGAGCAGATTACACTACAAGATAACATGGAGGGCGTGGTTTACTCAACTTCAAAGTTTGGGTTGGATGGTAATTATTACTTTGGATAACTGATTTCTAGATTTGTTATTTCACTGATACTCATATGTTACATGGTGATTTTTGCTCAGAGAGATTTGGGGATGGTGACACTTCTGGTTTATACCTCGATGAGGTAAGGTCATATTATTATTTCACCTCTTAGCTTCGCGTTATCTTGTTGCTTTATTTCATTTACCTTAATTNATTATCGAAGCTGCTTAAATTTTGACCATATTCTGTAGTCCTGGATGCTACTAGGAAGCAGGAACGTGATTGATTTATATCCACTTAGACAAGACTTCTTCATCCAGTTTTACAATCCAAACTTGGTCAATTGGAAGCACCTCTTCACTGAACATGATATAGTGTTTTCTTTCCTTTTTCTTTCCTTTGGAAATGGGATGCTTCCAAGTTCTGCTGCTTCTTTTTCTTTACCTCCATGTTTGTCTGTGCTGAAACTACTGATGTTCTGATGCAACCTCTTTGTCTTGTTTTGTTGAGTTCCTTGAAATTTCTTTTTAGAGTCTAGTGCTAGAGATAAAATGGTATTATAGAATAACGAAATCTATGGAAAGTAGAAGGTGCATTCTAGGAAGTGGAGGACCTACAAGCTCCAAACCCCCAAAGGAATAAGGAGCAGAACAATTGAAGGTTGGAAAATGATTTTTTCCAAAGCACTGAATGTCACTGCTTTTGCTATGTTGTGGGTGCATTGGGGAAAAGGAACGTGGTTGCTTTTCATGGGAAATGATTTTTTATAAAAATAAAAGCCCGTCTTTTGTTTCTAGTTAAGCACCCGTAAGTTTCTCAAGAGCGTATTACTTCTAAATGAAAGTTTCTCAATTGTTTATTTATATCTATGGTGCTAGAACAGTCGAGCTTTGTGGAATATTGGATAGATATACTGCAGCTTCTCCAATTTAATGTTTTCTCCATGTATGTTCATGTGTCTCAATGTTTTGTTTTTTCCCTTTTTTACCTTCTTTCCGCTTCCCCTTTCTTTTTATTGGTTCAATCTCCACGTATGTGCATGTGTCTCAATTTAGTGTTTTCTCCATGTATGTGTATGTGTCTCAATGTTTTATTTTTTCCCTTTTTCTTGTTTTACCTTTTTTCCCCTTCCCTTTTCTTTTTATTGTTTTTTCCTTTCTTTACCTTCTTTTACCTTCCCCTTTCTTTCTATTGGTTCAATGTTTTAAATTAATTTTCCAGTGTGAAGTATTTATTTGTCTTGAGCACTTCGCCTTACAGGACAGAAATAGACACCTAAAAAGTACTCCCTCCGTTTCAATTTATGTGAACCTATTTGACTGGGCACGAAGTTTAAGAAAAGAGAGAAAGACTTTTGAACTTGTGGTGTAAAATGAAAGACATATATTTTGTGTGGCTATAAATCATTGCATAAAGGTAAATTGTTTCTAAATAGGGAAAGAGGTCATTCTTTTTGGCACGGACTAAAAAGGAAATAGGTTCACATAAATTGAAACGGAGGGAGTATATGTTTATGAGGATATACAAAATTCTTTCTAGAGGATCTCTAGGGAAGAATAATCGGTCATGGTGTACATTGTTTTATTTATCCTGTCATGAGAAAGAGAAACTTCCTAACTGAAAAAATCTTGTTCGAGCGTCATGGTTGCTAATGGCATATTTTCTACATGAATTACATCCGATAGCTGTTAATCTGTAGTCCTCCATTGATGCAGGACATGTGCTCCTTTTACGAAGAAATGTGTATTTCCTTTTGATAAAGGATGAAATGTGTATTACAGTGCTATGTCATTTTATCTATCTTCCATTCTGATTTTGGACTTCTAATTGCAAACAGGAATTATTTTTGGACAAGGTTGCTGCTGCTGGAGATGCTAGTGTGAGGTTGATCTCAAATTATACACTGCCTGTTACAATATTCCCCTACCTCCATGTTCATAAGGATATTTCTGATTAAAGCCATATATATATATATATATATATATATACATATACACATCGGACATATTTCTGCAGAATGTTCCCAGTAACAAGTTTCTTAGGAGCTTCATCTAATTTAAAACTATGATATGGTTTTCTTTACCTCCCGTTATGCCCTCATTTTGTGTGACAGATTTAAGCCATTTCATACCTGATTATAACTGCATGCCATTTACCTAGTTAAGTTTCTAAAATCCCTTGGATTTACCGGTAAGTAGGGAGGAGTGTGATTTTGTTGATATTACTGTGGTGAAACTTGTCCAATCTAGTTTACAAAGCTCTGTGATCTTATCCGCTAGAGGCTCACTGTACCTTAAATTTATTATATTCACATTTCTCTCTGCAGTTAAGATTCTTTCAAGTGTATGAGTACCCTACTGCCAAGATGAATTTTGCCAAAAACTTATATACGCATGGTTTACTAAGTAATTGATGCAGAATCCATCTAGTGCTAAATAGGGTTATTGAATACCAGGGCTAATACGTCAGGTTGGATTCTTGGCATGAAATGAGCCAAAAACATTGCAGCTTGATGTTCTTTTTTTCTTTTGAAAATTTTTCTGACTCTCTTGACTTCTATTCTTGGGGTTCTGTTGGGGCAGATCAAACATCTTTAAAAGGAGTTTGATTGTTAATCCATCAGGCTGCAATACTGTATTATTACAGTTTAAATCATATGACTATCTGACACAAAAATTTGCTGATTCTAGTGCTGATCCTCTAGCGTCCGTTGAACCAATGACACCACTCAAACAAGAAGAGCACAATGAAGAGATGGCTGCAAATTCCGAGAGCATGGTAACTAGTCTATCTGTCCTTTATTCCATATATAATAGCTGGTTATCGACTATTTGTTGTTTTTTGTGTCAAACATCTCATTTTATGTACCTTAGCATACTTGCTAGAATGATCAAGGCCTTTTCTTTCTGCGCAGATTGATGGAGTTGATGGCGATGCTGATTTCATGGATCATGCTCCATGCACTCCTGGGTTGGCGGAAGAACCGAACTTGTCTAACATTCAGGAAACATCAGCATGTGAGGACCATATAGGACTGGAAGATCGTCATTTAATGGAATATGCTGTAAAAAGAAATACAGAGAATCTCTCTTGTGAAAATAACGTGAATAACGGGAGTGAACTTCTAGAAAATCAAGCACTAACTGATGGCTCGAATGCTGATACTGTTCACTTCGTGATTCCTGAGGAGAATGGTTACCATTTAGGCAACACGTGTGACAAACAACTGGTGCCGGATGGTCAGCTGCCTCCAAGTGAAGTTGCAATCGATCCTGTGAAATCAAGTGATCCCGCTGTAGCATCTGGACCATCCTTTGCTGCTGTTCATCAGGATAATTCAAAATCATCTGCACTAGAATGTGCAGATGAGATTATTGCTGCATCTGATAGTCAAACAAATGAGAGGAACACGCAGTGCATGCTTTCTGGCGTAGACAAGGTTGATGTATCTACCCCGGGTGGCTTCCACAACGAGGCTCCACTTCCAAATGGAATTAGTTCCGCAAAAGTTGACCATGATGTTTCTGCTTTAAGTAGCATTGGCCAGCCTGTTCCTGAAGATATTTCGCCAAGTAATCAGAGATCACCTGAGGCAGTCTCAAATAACGTTGCAAGTCCAGGAAACTTGGAAGCTGGTGAATCCCAAGATATAACTTGCTTAGAGACACCAAAGACCGTTGATTGTCTGGAACAAAGTGTTTTTACTGAAGACGCCAATGGTGCCCAGGTTCATGTTCTGAGTCGATGTAATGCTGCTCAACTTGACGCATCAATGTCTAGGTCTGAGCATGTTATTAATCATGAGCCACCATCTACTTTTTCGGGTTTCCACCCACCAGAAACTTCTAAAGAGGAGGAATCACATGCTTCAGGTATTTCTGCTAGAGTTCTAGGTTTCTTGGGTATAAATCTGTGTGCTTTATTGTAATGTTGTTTGCGAAATGCGAATGTACTCTTACACTTCCAGTTGAAACATGTCATGCAGCAAGTGATTTAGAACAAATTTCAAAAGAGAATCCCGTGAAAGAACCTGTTTCATGTGAAGACATTCCAAAAGAATCTAACAAATCAACTAATCAAACGGATACTGTCGTTCTAGAAGATCGCCACGTGGAAATTATGAGCGGTTCAGCTGCTTCTGCCTTGCCACCTCCTGAAAAGATTCTATCGATGCCAGGAGGGCTTGTTGATTTACCTCGGAGTATTTTTCCAGAGGCTACACCGGATTACTTGGCTGGGATCAATGAAGCTGATGCTAGTGGTAAATTCATTTCAGGAAGGAAGCGCAGTTACGCTGAAAGCACACTAACAGAGCAGAGTCTCTACTCAGCTGAATCTTTAAGGATGGTCCATTCCAAAATGACTGCAGGATTTATTCCTGATGATGATGATTTGCTTTCTTCTATCCTAGGTACATTAGAATTCTCCTCTCGGACTTTATAAAATGAAAGGGCGACTATTTTTCATCTTAATGAAAATTTCTGGCTCTTCTTCTTTAGAATATGGCATATATCCTCTTTTCTGATTCCCGTGAAGCATTCCCACTTTCCAAATTATTTGCCACAATTCTGCAAAGAGTAATGTTTATAATAGGCCTGTCAAAGTAAGGATAATATTATGTCGCATGCAAGGATTGAACCTACGACCAGCTTACAATCTTCATTACCATTTCAGTTGGAAGAAGATCTTCAGCACTGAAGCTTAAGCCTACTCCTCCACCTTCTGAGATAACATCAAGCAAGCGTCCCCGTTCTGCTGCCCGAATGAGTGCCAGGAAAAGGAGGAATGTTCTTATGGATGATATCATGGTCTTGCATGGAGAGTATGTTCCATCATCTGTATTTTTTTGTTTCATTTCCTGCAAATACATATTGGTTTTTCATCAGTTTATATCACTCTGCCGGGTGATTTGTATTTCCTGTCTTGTGGTCAAAATATAGCAGAATTAAATATATGAAAGGAATAAAAGTGTATCTCGGGCTTTAAACAATTATAAATGGATCCATATCATCAAGCAGACTGAAAATAGGAGCTAGCATTTTCTTGGCTCTGCTTTTCGGTCTACTATTAAATAAGATCTGCATCTGTAGCGTAATAAAATCTTGGTCTAGCTGCTCTTGCATTACTGAATTCTTTAGTGTGTGCCAGAGTTTAGGTGCTGGTCTTGCTCCGATCCAATGGTCAAAGGCATTTCTTTTATAGGCTTTGCTTCGACGTTGCACATTTGTTGTGGTCGCCTCGTCTTGTTGCTTTGTGTTTTTCCCAGTCAACTTTCAGTGTACAACCCTTGTTATTGGGATAACCTATTCCTTAGTGCTTCAGCGATCTGGCAACTGTTATCATGACTTATAGTCTAGCACTCTGGTTCTCGTGTTATACTAGATCAGTGCTGTTAAAAAATATAATGTCGATGACAAATAGAACAACCTAATACTTCCTAATGATCCTGAACAGATCCTCTTATAATCAAGTTGGTTCTTGGTTGGATCGGAGATACCTTAACACATTTTTCCATCATTTCCAATTGTGCAACCAAGGTTGTGGCTTAGCGGTCGATGAAGCTGGAATAAAGACCATGGGAGACCAGGGTTCGAATCCCAGCAGAGACAAAAAAGCTAAGTGATTTATTCCCATCTATGCCTATGTATTGGTGGGCAGAGTTATCCGGTGCTTGTTGGTGGGAGGATGTAGGTACACTGTAGAATAGTCGAGCTCGCAAGCTGGCTCGAACCACAGTTACCCCCCCAAAAAAGTGGAAAGAGAATTGATTATCTTTTTGAAACTGGTAACTTTTTCTATATTTCATAATTCTTATGTGGCAAAACAGTACTTAGATAGTACTGAAACCATATCTAAAAGAGGCTCTAACTATTACTGTCCTCTCTCTATATTGAATCTAAAACATCAATAATAGTGACAGTATCATTTGTGTAGATCTGATTACACCAAAAACACAACAGCAAAATAACGCTTAACTTGATCTTCTGCACCCCCTTCTCTGCATTCTCAAAACACCCGGAGTTTGTCTCCTTCCAAATTGTCTACCAAATGCAAGCAGGGATAATTCTCCATCTGGTCCTATCCTTTGCTTGTAGGCCTGTTTCCTCCCAACTATTAAGAGCATCTGTAACCTTCCCAGGCATGGTCCAGGAAATGCCCTTGAGATTAAGAATAATTCTCCATGGATGAGCTGTTACCTTACAGTGAAGGAAGAGATGGTTAACTGTCTCTGCTGTTTCCCCACACAAAAGGCTTCTGGAACATAAAATGAAACCTCTTTTCATCAAATTATCTTGTGTAAGGGCTGCTTCTTTAGCCAGTAGCCACACAAAACATGCGACTTTGTGAGGAATTTTTGTTTTCCAGATGTGTTTCCAAGGCCAGTTGGCTATCTACCGGTTGGAATAATTCATCCTCTTGTAAGCTGCATTAACTTTGAATAAACCCTTACTGCTGCCTTGCTACCATAATACATCTTCACCTGTTTGTAGTCCACTAAAGAATTAATTATCTTTTACGTTTAAAACAGAAAAAAAACTGACTGTCTTTTGTTCGTTTTCGGCATGCCAATAGCTGACCCTTCTAGTGGCTATTCCAGTGTTTGCTATCTAGTAGTGAATTGATGTGGGATCTGAATGATGGCCAATTCAGTTAGGTTCCCTCTCAGTTGCTCTCACTCCAAATAGTTAGTTTTTATTTTGTCAATTCTGCCTTATTTCCCAGTGAAATACTTTTTTCCTGATAAGTTATTCCTCGATGAACTGAAAAATTGGTTTTTGTTTAAATAGCTTGACTCGTCTCACCCTTTAACTGACTGACAAAGCATATTTGCATTTGTGATAGTATGATAAGACAACAGTTGATACATGCTGAGGACATACGCCGCATAAGGAAGAAAGCTCCTTGCACACATGCTGAAATCGCAGCAATCCGGAAAAAGTTGTTGGAAGATGAAATTTTCAGAGAAGCGGTATTAACTGGTGGGTTCAACATACAACTCTACACATTCTGCTATTTGATTATCTCCTTTGTTGAATCATGCAATTGTTTTTGTTGTGGATCAATAACTGAGAACATTATAAAAGATGACATATTGTCCGTTTTTAATTCGTCGAAGTGCTTATATGAGCTAGTTACACCTCAAGTTCCTTGGAGATTCGTTTCCATTGATTAATTTAACTTCTCTCTACTCGGATGTACACTGTGGAGCTGTTAAACTGATGTGTTTGGCAAACAAGTATAGTTGGACTTTATGTCAAGTGCTGTCAGATAGCTTTTCTGAAGACACCCTCAAAGTACAAGCACATGTTTTAAAGTGTTTAAGTTCATTTGCTAATTGTTTCATGTTAGGAGAAGTTACATTATTGCCTTCCTCTTAACTTTGTTTCCGGTGCTGCATAATACCAATGGTCTTTCCTGTAATGGATACTAGTTCATCATATTGACTGAATTTGATTTTGATGCAGATATGTCAGTGGAATTGGCTTCTTTACATAAGCAAAAATTTGACTTGAGTACGGTGAAGGTCTCTTCTATTGATGTTAGCTGTTCTCATACTGGGATGGCGGTTGACCCACAGCAAACTGCTGTGTATACTGAAAATTCCATCTCAAATTTGGACGAACAGCGTGCCATGGTGTTCAATGAACCACATGTTGAAAGAGAGAGTGGAATAGAAGGAAGCAATGAACGGTATGTAGCTAGAGATGATAGCATATTAGGAGCTGTTGAGGCTACTGTTCCAACTGAGAACAGGGATGTTGATGAGCATGGCCAATGTTTAAATAGCGATGCCTCTCAACTGCGGCCGGACGCCATCACTGATGCTGCGGTGCCCAATGACTTTAACCTTGAACCTTCCGACAATGCAGCAGAAGTAGGTCCACATGGAACTTGCCTTTCAGGTTCTCAGGCAGCTGAAGCAACAGATATCGCCTCTGCTGCTGAAGAATTATTGTCATGTCATAATAATGGTGGGTTAGGTGGCGATGGTGATGTAATAGCAGGTCTACCTCTGGCCGATTCGTTTAATGAGTCCGGAAAGGAAGATGCTTTTATTTTAGCGGAAGTATCTTGTGGACCACCTAATCATACACTGGCTGCTCAAGTTGATAAGGCTCTGGAAAATTTGAACGATGAAAACCTAGTGGATGGTAGTGAGTGGCAAGAAAACAACTGCTTTACATCTGAAGCTGGAACTGGAACTGAAAATATGATAGGCGATGCAGTTTTACTGGAGGCTGCCCAAGACAGTGCTACAGTTAAAGATGCAACTAATGTAGAAAATATTGTTGCAGAGAATGACAACCAGAGCTTTGCTGATAATGTTACAGGAACTGACCCACCTAACAGGGATATTGTATATGAAGAAATGGATTATATGCTGGATCATTCCATAGGAGCTGGACAATATCCATGTAAAGAAGAAGATTTCTCCTACAATACGGTGGCTGCAGATTTCTCTGATGCCAATCGGGGGGACCTTGATGTAAGTTCTGCTAAATTTCGAGTTTCCATGTGCTCTTGTTTTCTGGAGTTTCAGTACTCTCTCTCTATACACACACACACACATGTATGACAAACATTATTTGTTTTGTTTTGATGTACTTGATAGAAGTGCCCAGGATTACTTCTAGATCGTTATAGATAGTGTGAGATGTCAAGATAGTAAAACGCGACTGCTGAAAGCAGATTTTATTTAGGCCTTAAAAAGACAATTATGAACAGCAAAACTGGAGTACTCTTAAAATATAGCTTCTATTGAATTTTGTAAGAAAGTGAGTTGAGTACAGAAAACGTCAATATGCTCATCTTAACTAATTTTGCTAAATAACCTATTACAAACTGTAGGGCATCACAAATTTGTGCTGACAAGGAACTAATTAGAGCTTCTGTAAAGAATCTGGAAGTTGGATAATTTATAGTCTTGGCTATAAGTGATTGGTAAACCTTTTTGGGTAGCAATATGTATGAGAAACTTTGTCATCATGTAGATGAACATGTACGCTGGATGTTCCCTTTAGTCTTGCGCTGTTTTGCTTTTCCAAACTAATAGATTTTTTGTCAGCTAGTTGCTTTTGTTGAAATGGGCGTGAAATGATGCTGTTTTTCTTTGCTTTAATGAAGAGATTTTCTTTGATATCTTCTCTCTGCTGAATTGTGCTTTTCTCATTTGTTGTATTTTCAGCAGGATCTGGATTATTCAGCTGCTGGAGATGATACAGGTTTGTTTTCCCTCATCTGCAACTTTGTAAGACCTAAAAACTTCCAATTGCCTCAAAAGAAAGAAAATCAAACAATGTCAAACTGGATTAGGATGAAAACAGTTTTGAATTTGCAATGGCAGTAGGCATGTTTGGTTACTTAATAGATTTCGGAACTTTGTTATCTGAATTTTCTAACGGTAATGTAAATTCGATGATGGCTTACCAAAATCTGCATTTGATTTGATGTGATTTGTTGTATAATTGTTTTGAAGGTCTTCCTTAACGTAAACATTGACGAATGTTGTGACTCTTCTCTTTGTCCCTGTTGCATTTAAACATGTGAAGAAATAAGTGACACACTTCGAAGAGTTTGAGAGAATGTCTGATGACTAATGTCTTAACCCAGAATCCATTTATAGGAACAATTTACAATGTATATAGCTGTATTTATGGGAGATGGGAGACCAATGCTATATTTCACCTAAGATAACTATTTATACTTAACTAACAAAAACCGACCATGGTGCCAACCTCATTAATGTAAGATTATTTGGGAGTTTTTTGCAAGATTTCTCAAAGGTGTTTGTGATTCCATGCTCTTAGCTCTGGTGCATTGTCGTTGGTATCTAGGGTTTTTGAACTTCGATGATGATGATGATGATGAAGAAGCAGCTGATGATTATGTACCTGATGCTGATGTCACCCGTATCACCGACAACAGTGGATGGTCTTCTCGTACTAGGTGTGTACCTTGTCCTTTTGTTTCCTGTTATTCTGCTGCACTAACAGGCGTGACATTTTAGGCAAATTTACCCTCCTTCCCTGCCTTTTCGCTCATTGATCTGTAAGGGTACAAAATTGTCAAGTAACCCGCGAAGCTCAATATTTACACAACAGAAATGCGTTCGGGGAAGGACCTTTTTAAATTCCTGCTTCTCGCTTGTTTTGCGTTCTTTTTCTCTTCCTTGTGGCTCTCACCTTATATTTTGACGAAACTTGTGATCGTTCTTTTATGTCTTAAAAGGTGCATCTCGTCTTTTCTTTTTCCTTGACAAGTATTGGCATTGAAGGAAGTAATTCCCGTCTAGAGTACCGGATGAACTACCCCATATCTTGCTCCCTTGCCTTCTTGCTCTGATTCAGCTACCCCTCTTATAGTGTCTGCAGAATGGTCTAGTTAGTCTTTTTTACCAACTAACAAATGTGGTATATTAAGATAGTCGATCAGTAAAGCTCGGCCTGATAAGCAGTAGTTGAACCAGCACGGCTTTGGCTTCCTTTCTTTTACCTCTAGATAGGGTCTGTTATTTATTCTGATTTTATCTTAGTATTTTCCTTGACATGCTTATAGCTAGATGCTATTGTTTATGAACTAATATTTCAACGTCTTTTCACAATGATGTTTGTTTACTTAGGGCTGTTTCCAAGTACCTCCAGACCTTGTTTATTAAGGAATCTGAGCGTGGGAGAAAATCTCTCTCCATGGACGGTCTTTTAGTTGGTAAAACACGAAAGGAGGCATCAAGGATGTTTTTTGAAACTTTGGTATGTAATTAATACTGCTTATCATTTTTCTACATTCTCGTTGCACCTTTTTTCCTCTCCTTCGCGCAAATGGCATTTAAATCACCTGTGTTTATTGCAGGTTCTTAAAACAAGAGATTACATCCATGTAGAGCAGGTGATACCCTTTGACGATGTCGCGATAAAGCCACGAATGCAGCTTATGAAATCGGACTTTTGAATCTGATACGTTTGGTAGGGTATAACATGAAAAGTCGGTAAACAGAAATATGTATTTCTAGTAGTTAGTCAATTGGGTCTGTTTGTGGTCTACTCTTGCTAGATTTCATTCTTTAAAGTCATGTTTTGATGGTCAATGTAGTTAGGTTTTTACTTGGCTGGTAGAGTAGATCATTTGACACGGGTGTTTGTTGCACTCTGTACAATATAGATCTTATTTATATGTAAATATCCTGTATAATATTTGGCCACGGTTCTGTTCTAATGCCCTATCCTTATTTATCCTAATAAAGAAAAAATATCTGCTTTTATGTTTAGCCTTGTGATATGGTCAGTTTAGTGTCTTTTTGAGTAAAAGTCAAGGTAGGATGGCTTTTAGATACGCTATTTAAAATATAGCCAGTTTGTATAATGTAAATCTTAAATGTTTTTTAAATTTTGGCCATGTTCTAAATAGCAGTCCTAAAAGGGGCTATTTGTGCGCCTCACCCAAAATCAAGTTAAACCAAAAGCAGATGAGCTAACGCTTCTAGCACCAATTTGAAGATCAATTAAACTGATCACTAGGAATAAATTTACATCCAATGATTTGTACACAAATATTGGTTATAAATGTTAAGACTAAGTGTTCGTTAGGAAGTAATCTTTTCGTGAATTGCAACATTTACTTCCAAACCAGAAAACGTTTTAGAAAGTAACAATATTAACCAAATAGAGCTTTCTACAGAGGGAAAAATCTAACATAAAATTTCTTTGGTACCTCCTGTAGCTATATTTTATAAAGCTAGGCAGTTGTACAATAGCAACAGCTAGACCTCAATCCGAAAAAGTAGAGCTCAGCTATTTGAATACTCGTTGGCCATCTCACTCCATTTAAGCTCATCTCAAAACTAGGCAATTGAGAAGGCGCCTAGGCTAGATTGTTTTTTCCTCGGTTTTACACCAGCGCTGCTATTATATCCGAGTGGTTAGAAGCTAGATAGAAGCATTCTATGGCTTCTGTATGCAGTAATCTAACCCCTGATTCAATCAGTTGTTCGTCCTCTTTTGCTTAGGCCATGAAAAAATCGGTGTTTTCTCCTCTTCGAATGCTTCTTTGAGGCCCTCGAGATGACATAGGGAATGAATTGCACCTGCCAAACTTCTCAAGTTAGACAAGAACGAATCGAGAATCACACAAGATCTTACAAGAGGCAAACAAAAAATGGATTCCTACTTTCACTATTTTAAGAGAGCCAATATTTGGAATATAAAACGTAGTCCTCTTTTAGAGGACGATTCACATCTCCATCCTAACCGTTTGATATAGTTTCGTTCTATTTCTCAAAACAGAAAAGGAAGACCCTTAAAGCATAGAAAATACCAGCAATTATGGAGCTTAAAGGTAAAGACAGTACAATATAGACGAAAAGGTCGATTTCCATTTTCCATAATCAATCTGCGGGACAAGAGATCACAATGATTTGCAGGACAAACAAATAAGACATCACCCTTGAAATTCAAATTCTTCTGAAGGCAACGAGAAATCCTAATCCAGTTCCTCTGCTAGGTTTTAGAATTACTGTAGTTTTCAATAAATAGGAGTTCTTTTATTAACTTGACCATTCAAGAATATTAAGCACGATATTGTTATGATCAGATTACTAATATTTGGAAATTGCCAGAATTGGCTCTCCTGATGATTTGATTTGTTCTGAGCTCCTGAGGATAATTCAAAATTATGGAAGTGGTCACTACAGAGCTGCGGCCTAATATAGTAATACCCAATGCATCAATGCATTACTGATCCATGTTGAAGCTTGCATTAGTCTTTGCAATATAGTTGTATTCTGGAGAGATTGAGTCAGACATCTAGCAGTTGCTTTTTACATATATGATACTAACGCTGCAACTGCAGAGCTTCAGCAGGGCTAACTGTAAATAGTACTACCCATGCTTCTGACGTGTGTACTAGCTAAGTTGCACGTATTAAGCTAATGTATCTTTTCCAGTTTCCAATGAAGCACTTCATGAAACTTAAGGTCTAATCAGCATGAAACTCAAATCAAGCATTTTCGAGGGATATGGACATGGCATGGGTTACAAATCTGCATTAACCCTGGATTACAAGAAGCTCAACTCCGTACATTTGGCCTCTACCACATGGAATATCAGAAGACTTTGTAACAACATTACATAATAGTTTTAATTAGTGGGTAATTCAAGTGACTACAATGTTGTGAAACCACTGTTCTTTGGGAACTATTAATAATACTAATTTGACTTGACTAGAGATGAGGCTATTTGAAGCATTGGCTTTATCTGTCTAACAGAATTTGTTTATGGCTTTAAACACCTGTTTATTCTACGATATAGCGAACCCATTCATTAGGGATTTTAATACCAATAAGCCGAAGGTGAGTGACAATTGCAATCTGATATCAACATCTGAAATTGTGACTCATGGGAAATTAGGTTTTTGAAACTCTACTCTGGTCAAAAAAATGTTTCATGAGTGTTTTCTACAATTAGATTGCAGTTTGATATCAGGTATATTTACAACTTCTGGAGATCATTATGGGTAATCTTCTGTAAAACAAATACTGACATTGGGTAATGTAATTGCAACATGAATGTGAGCATCAAAGTAGAATACCTGAGCATTGTTCCTAATGCCGTAGTCCTGAAGTTTAGCAGTATCATCAAGTAACTTCTCATTGTGAAATAAAAGGCAAAAATTTGACCAGACATGCCTCCTGTGTATCAACAATAAATATTCAAGTTAGTAAAAGGGAGAGAAAATAAATGTTAGCATTTCAAGTAGCTCAAAACGAGTATGATCAAGCTGTAGCTCAACTGATCTATGCTTGACCATTAAAATAAAATCTCGAACAAGGTAATTGATGTTAAAACTGTAGTAAAGTATAGAAGCTAAAAGTTCAATCAAAGTTCCGGCTAGTATAACCCAGAACATCAAGTGAGCCAAAGTAATGCAATGACGAATCAGTGCGCCAACAGATCTGTTTTCTTTAGCATGGAAATGAAAGTACTAGCACTTATACGAGCCAGGGTTCCAGAAGGATTTATGTGTATCAAATATTCTCCATTAAAGTAGACAGAAACATCTAATGAATCAACCAATTGTAGTTTGTCAAAAGTGTTGGTGAGTTATGTTACAATGTCTTCAGAGGCACCTACAATGGCTGGCAGCAATTCAGCTTGGTGAATACCTGGCCACTCGCTCTTTCTAGGTTACTCCCCAAAAGATAGCTATAAATCCTCTATGAATAGGTACCAGCAGGTCCAGCACCATATCATCGTTCTGAGGCTACCTTCAAATTCAGTTCCTCTTGGCAAATTTCTGATTTAGCAAACTTCGACCCTTTACCTTATTTTTTTTCTGTCTCCAGTTTACTCTCTTCTTTTTGCTTCTGAGAACCGAAACATATTTAACCTCTAACAGCACGTGTACGATTTTTTTTTTTCCGTCTTTGAGTTTGTAGCACTTTTATTCCCGTTACAAAGAGGAAAAGGAGCATGTATCCATAAGACGGCTATGAGGAAATCATGAGCCAACTCTAAGAACACTAAGTTATGAGTCCCTATAACATTTCAAGCAACATACCAAGAAATATGTCGATGGCCCATCTTAGATTGCTCATTGTCATCAATCCTTAGCCGAACAGCTTGTTTCAAGTCTTTAACTGTCGCGGAATTCATCACTGTTACATCTTCACGGCAAAAGTAGAAAATTAATACATGTAAGTTGTAACTGCTTATTCTTGTCTAATTCAACAACAACAAAAAAAGTTCACAACTAATAGCAGTGAGATGAGGTACCAAAGCAGCTGCCATCCAATTTGAGGATAGAGATGCGCATGGCACTCCCAAGTTCCAAGCTGATAAGGGTGTCCACATCCATCAGAGTTGGTTTTTTGGGTACATCAGATAGCACAGGATCGTTGAGGAGAGCAACCAGTGTTGAATGGAGTCTTGCCTTCTTCATGTCGCTGTTGTATTCCAGTGAAATCTTGGTTTCCTCCTTCCTCCCCTCTGTTGGTTAATATATCTTAAAATCAGTCTGTATCCAATAAGAATTAATAGGCTTACACAAAATACACAGAAAAATAGATAATGCAAATAAGTCCAGCAACTTTTATGCAAGCTAATTTGGGAGCTAAGAGAAGGCAGAAAAAGTCCATATACCTTACCTAGTACTTCCCTTGTACTTCAACCTCATATTCTCTCCTAAACATCTTCCAAGCATTATACAGAATATAACCCAGGTATCTATACATAGGCTTAAATTATGGTTAGCATTATATCAACTATAGAGAAACCATTTTGTTCTGTGCACTGACACATGTTTAGTGGGCTAGACTTACCCTTGTGGGAGAGAGTAGAGTTACAGAAGTGGCAAATCTGGACCATTTTGAATAGTTCAAGGGCAAATTTGACCCCTTTTCGATTGTAAAAAAGCATGTGTCAGAAAGCTTATGTCGTTAGTCAATAAGGTAAATCTACCCGAATTTCATAACGTCAAGGCTAGATCTAACCCCAACTATTAACGAAGGCGAAATCCGGACCATTTCGCAAAGTTCAAGGTACAAATTTGACCCTTTTTCCTATTTATTGAAGATAGAGAAAAGAGAGTTCTCATGTGAAATTGGTTTCACAAAGAACTGGGAAAGTGTACTAGTCCATCCAGACACCTCCCAAAACAAAAAGAAAAGAAACAAAACAGACATTGGTTAAGCTTCAGTTAAGCAAGTTAACGGAATAGGTATATGAAGTAAAACATTGATAGCTCACCAAAAGTGCATCTTATGACACCTTCATCAAAATTCATTCCCTTTCTTATAATTGGAAATCGTTCAGAACATAAAAGAAAGTAAAATATGATGAGCTAACGTAGTGATGGGGCAAAGCCATAACCAAAGACCTTAGTCTCATAATTTCGTAGCAAAACCTATGTGACCATTAAAATGGACATGTTACATCTATGGGGAAACATCCGGAAAACCCTGATATCAATAAGAATCTACTTGATTTTAGGGCCAGTATTTGAAAAACCAAGCATTTCAGAAATTCTCTAAGAAATGAATAGTAATTTCTACTTCTTTGTCATAATAGATACTTGGACTTGCATGTTGGCAAGATGCATGTGTGTGTGTGTGTAATGAGTGTGTCTGTAAACATTTTTTTTTAAAGAAAAAGAACTGTACAAGAGGATTACAGAGGAGACCATGAAGAAATATATATATTCAACCTAAAGGTTTGAGTATAATGTGGATCAGAATCTCTGACAAAAGTCTCCTTGAGGATGAGAGAGTGAAAAGAAGAATTCTTTGGGATATGAAGCTAAAACGAAACACAATTACCACCTGTGTGTTGTTCAGATTCTGTAGTAAGATCTCCGGACAGCTCTAACAATGTCATTTGCTGCATAACAGTGGTTGAAGCTACTTAGTATATGAAGTTAAAGGACAATCGACAATGTAGAGGCAAATATTCCATTTTGCAATACCCAAAATCTAAACAGTTGAAATGGGAAAAAATCAAATTGTGCTGCAGTTTTCTAGGCCCAACAGAAGGTAAGTTTAGACTAAAAATAAAATAATAACAATGGCAGAATCATTTACCTCCTCTTTAGCTTCCAGGTACTCTTCATTTGCTTTCGTTTTAGTCACGGGATCATTGCTTTCCTTCCTGCTCAGCAAGCAATGATTGACTCAAAAGAAAGGTAATGGCAGTTATATATGCTGATCAAACAGGGTTAGCGATTGCACTTTCAAAAGGTTGATATAGCTACGCTCATGCTCACTTAATGAGTAAGAAAGCAATGGGTGACACCAGTATGCCACTCAGGCGTCAAGAAAAGGACAAGTATTCTCCAAGAGATGCCACAACTTTTGGACATTGCAAAGAAAGATAAAACCCGACTGTTTTGCATGACTACAAGTCTACTCAGCAGCCCTTTCCTTTCTTTTCTTATTTGAAGGGCATGTACTCCTTTATTCCTCATAACATTATGATACAGTAGCCGATCAGCAATAATGAAAACTACTATGCACTAAGAAATAGTCACATGAGATAATTGACCATTACACTCCCTTCTTGACACAATAGCTGCAGTGGAGTTGTTCATGTTTTCTTCCTCTTCTTCTCATGTTAAGAAGAGAGAAGCTCTCCCTTTTTATTTTAGATTTGATGATAAGCAATTCGGTCATTCAGTGTTTTAATTTCATCATTCAAGATTGTGAAAATTATGAAATGTGTAGAGAAGCGAGAGCCTCTCAAGTTTCACCATAGCCCAGCCAAACGGGGCTTTAGGAACTTATATTCAGAGTTGATTTTGTGATGCTAGGAACAGCAGAGAGAATCTAGGAAGTTTAGAAGAGGCAGAGACAGTGTTAAAAAAAGCGACCGCTTCCTCGCTTTAAGCGAGAAGCGAAGCGGAGCGCTGGGTGGGTCGCTACCCCAACTAAAAGCGGCTCAGGTGGTAAAAAGCGATCGCTTCTCCCAAAAAAGCGAGAAGCGGTGAAGCGGTAGGGAGCGGAAGAAGCGATCGCTTCTGGAAATAAAAGCCCAAACGAGTCTTTTTCAATTAAAAGACCCAAATCGAGTGAGTCTTCTGTTTTAGTCATTCTTCAGTAGCAACCTAGGTTTATAAACTAGCCTTTTCTTCCTCAAAAGACCAGCGATTTCTTCCTCACATGAAGCAACGATTTGTTCAAGCAAACTAGGGTTCTTCTTCGTCTTCTTCAACATTACAACAAGTCAACAACAGCTTTCAAGTTTCAACAGGTATGTTCTTCTTTCTAAACGTCCAAAAAGCGCCGAAATGCTGACAAATTTTTTTCAGAAAAATTCTGCCCAAATTTTGCCCAGATTCTGCCAAATTATATATTTTTTATTCTTAGTTCTTATTGCCTTTCTTATGTGTTATGTAGTTGATATTTTAATGGCGCCAAAAGAAGATAGGAAAGACCATGGCTTGGGCTTACTCGGCAAGAGTTAGCGAGATCAACAAGATGGCCATTAGATGTCTTTTTTGTGATAAGATTACAAATGGAGGAATCTATCGTCA